GTATGTAGTGTGTGTGTGTGTGTGTGTGTGTGTGTGTGTGTGTGTGTGTGTGTGTGTGTGTGTGTTAACTTTGATCTAATGAAAATTAAAAGGTTAGTACACGTTTTTGTTTTCTGAAAAACAAAAACTTCTCGGAACCAGAACAAACAAATGTAAGTAAATACACACTTTCACTACAAAGATGAACATTCATAAGTGAAAGCAATATGTCCTCCCCTTCCATCATCCATTTTATTGAATAAGATTCTCAGAATATCATAGATTTCAAGAGACAGAATGGTATTTAAGGCAGGGGAAGGAAGCATCAACTACAGTATACATATATACACTTCAGAGATATACAGTTAACACAGTATCAACTTGAGATGTCTTTGTGAGAAAAAATGTATTGAAGTATAGTAAATTGTGAGTTTATAATGACATAGGACAGCTAGTTGATGGGTAAACAGATTTATTCATAATGCCAAAAACTTTACAGGTAATTTCAAGCATTGTGCAAATTAAAACATTGTAATGTTTATGTATGCAATGTTTCTAGAATTAGAGCTCCCTATTACATACATTGTGTTTTTTTCATTTGACCCCTGTGCAAGAAAGACATAAATCCAAAACACACATGCTTCAATCTAAGGAAGGTGTCTTTGTGTAATGTCTCTTCTAGATTGGTTGAAATATAGAGGAATGGCAGACTAAAATACATAATTCTGGGAAATATTGTGACATTTGATCTCTGTAAAATTGCAAAAAAAAAAAAGCATGAATACCAGAAATCTGTTCATTTCAGTCTGAGGGAGTTGCTGTAATATACAGAAATAGCAGGCCAAAACATATTTGTTTTTTACCTTTGAACCTTATAAAAAAAACAACAAGGAAAAGTGCAAGTCTGAAATTTGTCTGCTTAAGAATATGGGGGTTATCACAAGGTATCTTTGTGCAAAGCCTCATTTAGAATGATGGAAATATAAGGGAGTTGCAGGCCAAAATGTCTGTTTTGTAATGTTTGAATTCTGAGCTGCTAAAATTGGAATGGTGGCTAAAAAGAGTAAAATTAAATATAGTTAAAAAGTTGTTCTGGTGTATTGGGCCAATGTAAAAGAATTCAGTGCAAATACCCCATTTTCATGCACTTTAAACTATCCATCTGTATAGTGCATTTAGTAAACATTATACGAGAAAAAGATATATTCAGTGATTCTGGTTGTATGGTTAATATATATATTCATCTTCATGGTTAATAATTTATTCTGATAAACAGAGAAAAATACTTAACCCATGAAAACTGTTTATTTGATATTAGATGATTTAAACTTCAAAGAAAAACCTATTCGTTATTGAGTAACTTACTTGATCTAGTGTAGTCTGACTGACAGAAAAGTCCCTTATTCCCAATTCTTCTCCATTCTCTTCTAGGCACCCAAAAATTACAGATAGTGGAACATTCTTGGTTGGTAGACTGAATTCAATCATATTACAATGATGTGCCTGAATAATAAAAAAAAGCATATTCTAAACAGAAAAAACACATCAAACTAAAATTATCGATTCCATAAGCTAAGAATAGCTATATTAGACATACTTGTAAGTCACATTTTGCCAGAAAATAAAGGTCAGAACTGTAATTTTCTAAATTAATTTTTTTCAATATAATTTTATTAAATAATATTTTTCAGTTATTTTTACTAGTAGTATTTTCATTCTCAATGAAAACAAACTTAATATTGTTTATTTAATATCAGTAATGACATTCACCCGCAACACGCTGGTTGGAAAAAAGGTGTGGATAAAATTGATGACAGGACCCCAATCTGCTTTGTTCTCAGCCATTCGTATTGTGATGGTGTAACCAGTTCCAAGTCTAAATTTGTTAAAATATACTTATTATTACATAAGTTACTACCAATAACATCAACTAAATTAAACCCATATTGATATTATTATGTATTCTTTTATCAACTACCAAATTATAAATACCAAAAGCAGATGTCTGAAAGAGACATTTAAGATGCAAACTTGCTTTAGCAACATTTAAACTATTTCCAAAAGCTAATTACTAGAATAATCTGTAAAGATATTGTTAAGTAAAGAAATAACATGAAATACAGATTTAAAACAAACCTGTGATTTACAAAACAATAAACCATCTAAAAATAAATTTTTCTCCTCATTTGCATCAAGTATATGAATATAAATATTGAGTACATAAGCCAACTCACATAAATAAAAGCATTTACTATAACATCAGATCATAAATTATCAAATAGATGAGCAACTGTAAACATGACTAAGATAAAACTTACTTGTATTTAAGATAATGTGGACTACCAAGACATTTCAATTTTCCATTCACCATAATGGACAACCTCGAGCAGAGGATGTCACATTCTTCCATACTGTGTGAATAGAAAGCAAGCAGAGGTTTGAATAAATTTTTATGATATATTTAAAAGTTTCTGTGGAGTATATTTAGTTTAGAATAATAATATTATGCAAGTTTTTTCTAAAACATCTCTAAAAACAGTTAAAATGAAACTTCTAAAAATATTATTCATTCATAACTGAAAAGTTTTCCTGTAGCATTTTTTATTTTCAATCACTGTTTTTGATATATATTTTCTATCTTTTTAATGCATAAGCCTAATTACATCAATCGTAGAAACAATAAAAAATATTCTATTTTACATATTACTTAATCCTGAAACTGAACAATAAAAAAATTACTCAATTTAACATTTTTACTTTGAAAATGTCAAATTTGTTTTGATTCAACAAGGAAAGGACATGCAATTCTTGACGAGATCTTCTAGAAGCCTCTTTTATTTACTAAATCAAAACAGTTTATAACTCCTGATTACTCAGAATAGTGATGAATATTTTACTAAAATGTTAACACTAACCTATGTGATGTAAAAAGCACAGATCTCTGATCCTTGACAGCCAGTTGTACATTATTCCATACCAATCGTTTAGTCAGGGGATCCATACCACTTGTTGGTTCATCCTTCAAATATAATGACAAACAAAATTCATTTTAAACTAAAATAAAATACAACCCATACAAATGCAGTCTAAGATATCTTTAATGAGATCTACATAATGAAAAAAATTATTTAAATCTCAGAAGAAAAAAATATATATATACATAAATATTTAAGAAAACCCATTATTTTAACACACATATTTGATTTTCTCTTCTGATCCTGATTTAAATATCAGTATTAAATTCAATTGAAATGAAATCCAAATAAGTAAATATATCTAACATACATAAAAGCCAGTTGTCTTCTGGCATTTCTCCTGCTCTGTTCCCCTGTGTCACTTAGCAACAAAACTAAGATCTGATATTGTTGTCTTACATCATGAGGGCTGGTTTGAATTCCACCTTTTTAGATCATTTTATGTTTTAGTTTATCATGGTTCATACTGAATTGCTGAGATCAATTTCAAGCACTTTTCAAGGACTTTCTAACTACTCTTAGAATGTTTTTCAGCACTTTTTGGAAGCTAAAATCTACATCAAAATTAATTGGATTCCACTGAAATTTTATAAAATTCCTATTTATTTCTTCAACATATAAGTGTAGACTAAAAAGAAAAGAAATACTATTTATTGTGCTCAACTCTGCAACATGCATTAAAGTTCAATGAATTGATATATTCTGCTATAATAATATATTCAAGTATTCTCGCAAAAAAAAAAAGTCCCTTTTCAAGAAATTTCAAGCTCTTGTAATTTCATTCTCAATTTAAAAATTTTTTTAAGGATGTGTATGCACCCTGGTTTATGCATATACTTAGCTCGATATTAGACATTTCAAAGTTATTGGCGAATTTTTAAAATATCTAAGTTAGATGGTTAGTGACCATAATTTGCATATTTTTATTATATTTACATGAAGTTTGTGTGTTTTATCTTTTTTTTTTGATAAAACTTTTTTTTTCTTTCTGCTAGATATATTGCTATTAGCCTTAACTAATGATGGTACTTGAAATTAATTTTTAGGTTTAAATTTTGTGATAGAATTTATACCATAAATCTTCAGCCTATTGATTTTTGGTGCTTTATGTATTTTTGGTATTTAAACTGTAATTTTTAGGTTATATGACAATTAGAAAAATACCTTCGGTTACGTTAAAATATTGATGGATTTGTGATATAGTCATAATGTGGAGAATAAACTGAAAAGTAAAAAAAATTGATATAAATAAAAGTTGTATCTGATTTTCATAAATTTATGTACAAGTCATGAACCTTGGTGTGATACAACTTTTTTTCTGCTGACGAAAATGTAATATATATAAAAGCCAGTTGTTAGTGTGTGTGTGTGTGTGTGTGTGTGTGTGTGTGTGTGTGTGTGTGTGTGTGTGTGTGTTACGCTCATATTAGGAGTCAATTTGAATTAACCTAGTACCATTCTTATAGGGTTTTTGAGAATATATTTGAAATATGTTTTTATTTTCTCAATGTGTGATTGTTTTTCTTTCATGATGAAGAAGAAGTTCAGTGAAAAAAGCTTGCTGAAAAAAAGGTAGGGGAATTTTATAAAACTCCATCTTGTCATATTTTGCCAGGTACAACAAGGCTAGTTTTCTGAATATAACAACCTATAAAAATGAATTTTTAAATTTTTAAATGAATAAACTAAATGTTTGTAAATCATGGATGACACAGTAAGATTATGACATACGCCCTATGTTTGATACCTATTCTACTTCAATGAATTTTAGCTATTGATAAATATAATTTTATAAAATTAATTAAAATAACAGGTAACTTGTTACAAACCAACTAAACTGACAGGATTATTATTTATATATTTTTGTATTCTCATGAATGGGAAGAATACTAACCAACTTTAAAAGGTGTCTCAATACTTATATTTTTAAAGTGTGGACTTGGCTTGATAAGTATATGCTAACACTAAACAAAATGAGAACCTTTTCGTCAATTTAACAAAAACTTTTGTACAATAAGAACTTGTTTGTATATTTTTTGTACTTTCTATACATGTGGATTAATTATTAGAATTGTTTTAGTAAAGTCAATTTTGAGGTTTTTATTGAAAATGCTTATTGACCTATTAAGGTTATGCTACTAAGTTTAAATCACCAATCAGTTATTAAAATTATTTCAATTATTGTTAAAAATCTCATAACACTAGCCTTGATTTATGTACTAATACATACTAACCATTATATTAGTATGTTGTACTGATGTACTGATTTTTAAACTAACAAGTCTTGAGTTATGTAGAACTGTTAATATATTGATTCTTACACTAACCAGTCTTGAGATGTGTACAACTGTAATATATTGATTCTTACACTAACCAGTCTTGAGATGTGTACAATTGTAATATATTGATTCTTACACTAACCAGTCTTGAGATGTGTACAACTGTAATATATTGATCATTATACTAACCAGTATCTTGAGTAGTATACCACTATAATGCATTATTTCTTACAGAAACCTGCATCTTGAGTTGCGTACCAATGTAATATATTGATTCTTATACTAACCAGAGTCTTGATTAAGTTACAGTAAACTTTTGAATTAATCACTGTTATTGTTTCCAATAATTCTTGAGTAGTGTTATTTTCACACTTACTAGCACCTTCATTTATGTACTACTGTAAAACGAAATAAAAATTTATCTGCCATTGATCTTACCAAGAGTATAAGTTGGGGATTTCCCAACATTGAAATTGCAGAACAAAGTTTACGCTTAGTCCCACGACTAAGATTTCCCACTTTACGACTTGCATACAGTTTAAGATGAAATTTTATGAGGGCCTTCTGAACCACCTGCAATGGATTACGAACAATTAAAAAAGTTTCTGTTAAGTTATCAGTCTTTACAATATTTACACTAATATGTCTATTTTAATTTCTTTATTAATACAAGTTACTTCATAGAAATAATTACTGATCTAGTTAACATTAAATAACATATGTACACAGGCTAGGACATGTAATGAATCATTGAAAATAAGGATATTTGTTTGGATATTCAAAATTTGAATAATGGAGCATTTTAATGAGGGGTTGCAGGAATTTTGAAAGCTTTCAGGATTATCTGAATAGAAAACAGATGCATATTAAGGATTTAGATAGGCAAGCAAAATTTTAAAAGAAATAAAACAATCATTTTCAAAAGATCCATGGAAATAGATAGTCACTAGAAATGTCACAATGGTAATTCTATTCACTCAAGGAAATTAAAACTATAATAAAACTTTATACTTCTTTATAAAACACATTTTAAGAAATGATAAAAACAAATCTAAACAGGGAATTACAATTTATTGTATTTAACAAAACTTCAGGTTTAAAATAAAACAAAAACATTTTAAATTTTCAGCTTCAAGTATTTACACCATAAACACCAGAATTACTGAAAAGAAGCTGCAATATAACTTTCATAAGTTGCTTAATAGGGAGATATTTCATAGTCTTAAGCTACAAAATAACTAAAAAGAATAGCATCATAAATGAAAATAAGGTACATAGCATAACCAAATAACCACAATACTTGTAATGAACTATAAACAAAACTGTAACTTTACAATGGGTACTCAAAACCCACAAAATCATATTACTTCACACCCACTGTACCAGTTTTCATTGTGTTAGTCTGAAAATTAAAATAAACAAGAGAATGCAGGAAAAAAAGTAATATAATTATGGATAAAACATTAATTAAAATCAATTAGAAATATTAATGTTAATCTAAATCACCTACACAGCAACTATTATGTTAAGTCTGAAAAATAGTTATTTATAAAAATTACCATACATGTGGATCACTAACATTTTTATTTTACAGAGAGTAAAACATGTATGAACAGAGATTATTGATAAGCTGGCTAATTTTTTTAATAGTAAAGAAAACATTTGATCCTTACCTTTCCGACATCCTTAGGTGGAATTCCTCGTAGCTTAGCATAGATAACAAGATGCTGTTCAGGTGTCAATAGGTCATCTACTGCATCAGCTTGAGGACAATAACCTAACAAAGTGTTGCTACAAGACACAATATCTTCCACCCTAAATAACATTGGAAAATAATTTTACTATATTTAAAAACGTTTTTGGATAAAAAAAGAAAACATCTTTTATTCTGATTTGTTTTTTTTATAATTACAAACAATTTAAATGTTCAATAAAACATCTAAACAATACATTTAAGAAATTCAAACAAAAATAATTATTATATAAAGCCATATTTTTGCTTTTGTCTGCATGTATTCCTAAAAATTTCATTGTATGTATATCCAAGGTAATAATTGTAATTAACTACATATGCATCTTATTTCAATACTCATGTATTAATCACTCTGCTGTATTCTATGTCTCTTAGACTGTATTTATACACAAGTACAATTTATAAGGTTCATTACAAATATAAGAAAAGTTTATAAGATGAATTACAGAGGAATCATTTCTTTCTTTGCTCTAATAAAACACTAAATAAACAATATGTAACGTATTACTGAAAGAATATACAATTCCTTATAAATTAAAATATTTTGACTGCCACATAAGCATTTCTAAGAAAAATGAAACTGAAACTGTTTAGAAGAAATGTAAATAGATTTTACTTTTTATAGTACCTCCTCTATACCCATCTTCTGATAACAATTATAAAATGAAACGTACGTTTTGTTCTTGATGTATACATTTCCTGAAGTAGCTTCAAGTTGTCCTGTCAAGATTCTAAACAGTGTTGTTTTTCCTGCCCCATTAACACCCAGCAAACCAAAACACTGGAAATTAACAATAAATATAAATTCAGTATTTAAATTTCTATACTTTCATTTATACCAAAGATATTTCAACACCTTGTATAAACTAATTATTTAAACAAAAAGGCTAAATGAAGAAAACAAGTACACAGGAGGCAAAAATTTAAATATAACAAAACAAATTCCTGCATTTATTATAAAAAACCTTCCTAGGCAAATAAATTGACATTGGGCAGAATTATGTTATACAATATTTATATTTAAACATTCTAAAGCTTACATTTATAACTAAATAAGCTTTTTTTTCAAACAATTATAGCAGTAGTCATAATTTGATACAAAACTAAGCAACAATGAAGACTGAAAAATCATGCTAAAATGGTTGATCACTAAATCCTACCTCGCCTTTAGGTATGGCTAGACTGACATTGTCCACAGCTACATTTCTTCCTGCAATGCTTTGAAACTCCTGCAAAGATATCGTGATAGCTGATATATAACTGACACAAGCAAGCTATAAGTATTAATCAACAGCTCAATCTACAGAATGAAATAGGTGATTTGTCTAATAGACAACATATTTCATTTAAATTTCAAACTTCAAAAGTCATTGAAATTTTCAGATTACAGATTAAAGTAATTTTCCCAATGACCAAGTTTTTTTTGTATATCCCAACACCTCCCCTCCACAAAAGTTCAGAAAAAAAAAAAGAATATACAGAACACACAGTTGTCTGACCAGCATAATAGCAAGAGAATCACAGATCTACAATGTGGAAGGGCATGTGAAGTGATTTGTTACAGGGAATCAAACCTTGGATCTTAGCATGCAATAATATAAACTTACCACTGACATACTGGAGGACTACATACTAAAGAAAAGTGATATATTTGATATAACAATTTGATCTCGGACAAAATTATAAAATGCAATCATAGGGGGAAATGTAATTCTACAAAATTAATTTTCTTAGCTATAACTTGTTATATTTAAAAGAGAAAGAAATTGTTTAAAAAGACCAAATGTAGTACCAAAAAAGGGTGTGCCATATTATCATATAACTGTGTTCGGAAGCCTTGAACATATATTGAAAGTACTTCACATAATGTAAATACTTACCTTGGAAAGTGAAACCAGTTTCAGCACATCATGTTTACTAGCTTCACTCATAACTCTCTTCCTTTCTTCAGCCACATCATTATCTTCAGTAAAAAGAGGATCTCTAGGTTTGGAATGTTGAAAACTGGAGAGATTGTAATAACATTTTTGTTAGTCATCTTAACAAATGAAATACTATTGACAGCTTTCATTAAGAAACTTGGAAACATCAGTAATCACTGCCTGCAGAACTATGTTCTTTTTGAATATTGGATTACTGGTCACTTTTTTTTTTTTACCCTACAGAACATATTTGTAACTACTGTTTTGTTATTAATCTTACATTAATAATTTTTTTCCCTTTTATGTTTTGTTTAACTAGTGTTTTATCTTTCATTTTTATGTACAACTTCTCACCTTTTCAAACAATTAAAGAAGTGTAACTCCAGCAATAGATTCAGAATAAAAAAGATCAAGCCTTCAACTGCTAGGATAATGTAGTGATACCCCAAAAGCTCCATACTGAATGGTGAGATGTAAGTATCTTGGCCAAACATAGCAAATATTTCTGCTTGGATGTGATTTTTGGCAAGATCAACTAGTCCACCAATGAGTGCATACTGAGGAAACAGTACACCTATGTATTTTAAAGTTACCATCACATCATCTGCCATCTGTAATAGATTCAAATAAATTTCAATATCAATACACAAACGCTAAACATATGGAACATAAGCTCAGAAAACCCTAGGAAAACAATGCACAATATAAGAATTGATTCCCAATTCAAAGTAAAGAAACTAAGTTTGAATTTTATTTCTATTGGAAGAAGATAAAAAGCAATTTGTTCTTTTGGAATTTCAGGGCTGGAATTCATAAGAGACTGTGCTCTTGCTTTAGTTTTTGAAGTGGCTGATATTACATATTCAGAGAAAGGTAGACCATTAAAACTTTTACACCTATGTTTTTCAAACTTCTCCACTACAATTACCTTGAAATGCAAGTTTCATTAAAAAAAACAAGATAAACAGCATTTAAAAAAAAAATCATACTTCATTTAGATAATGAAATATACTTAAATACTTCATACCTACATATAAACTACTTGCACTAAATTTCGTAGTCAAGATTTATAAGGCAAATGAGATAAAGTAGATGGTATTGTTAAAAATTTAAATGCTCCTTGTTCATTTCTTACACATTCTGTAATATGTGGTTGGTCTGTATTACTTCATATCTAATAAACTGACCATAAATTTCTCTATTTTGCAGATATAGTTATAATCTATTTAGCACAACACATTAATTAGTTAATTACAAGTTACTAGTACACTGCTCATTTATGAAATGGCCATAGATAAAAATACATATACGTTACAATTAACTCATCAGATAACTCAGCAAAAGTGACTATAATGTTTTCACAATTTAAATTCTACTACTCCCTTTAATCATTTTCAGTAGCTATATTACAATGTGTCTTTAAATACACTACTCTTACAGTATTTTCATAACTGTAATAGAATCTAGTGCATTTTTGGCTTTATTTATTGATGCACTGTGATATGTCAAAAATTACTGGTTAGTGTATTCATACATTAGTGAATTGTAGAAAATACATGTAAAACTCTTACTGCATACACAGTTCAGGTGTAAAATTATAGATATAATCAAATAGCTTAACAACGATTTAATCTATTGTCAAAACAAACAGAAGTAAACTGAGATGGTAGAAGAATAAATATGTAAGGGAAATATCAGACACTCTTGGTGTTGTTCAGCTACAAATTACTACGTGGAATAACTTCAGAAAGATTTCTTTGAAACTACTGCATATTTAAGTCTATGTGATGTAAGTTTCTTGCAAGAGAGCATTATATATTCCACTAGCAAAAAATGTGGAAACACATAGTATAATAACAGATATCAGTAACTAACATACAATAAACAGGAAAACATGTACACAGCGTGGTCACAAGTAAATAGACACCACCTTTTCAGAAAAAAATGAAAATTTTCAGTCATGTTCACATGAATTAATATATTTATAATTTAATTAATAACTAGTAGATCTTCCTTTCGCTTCGTGGAGTTCATTGATCCTTTGGGGCATCGTGAGAATCATCTCGTCCATTTTAGATTGTGGGCTTTTCGCCCACTCTTGCTTCAAAACTTGGAGTAGATCGTTCTTCGAAGTTGGTTTTTTTGGTTGTTTCTTGACTTGCCGGTCAAGTATGGCCCAGAGGTTTTCGATGGGGTTCATGTCAGGAGATTGGCTCGGCCAGGGCAACTTCTGGATACCATT